TGTAAAGGATGAAGAGCCATCAAAATGGTTACGTTGAGAAATTTATGTCAAATGATAACAGCATACTGCTGGCGTTAGATCTTCGTCCACTCCAAGAGTTTATAAGAAATCGTACACAACAGTAAAATCAAGCCGCGTGTTAAAATGGATCGAGGGGGATAAATGCAGACATGAAACGAGAGCATTTTAGGTATCTCCTCATTCACAAGTGGATGAATTTCGAGGAAAAGCTGAATTATTGTAAATGTAAATTTTTGGCGCACAGCGATTGTGAAAATTTAAGCACCTGATGCCAAAGCTCGTTAGTGACGACAGCCGAATGGTGAAGTGGCCAGCGAGGGCATTGGATTTGAATTTCGCATTTCGATCACTTGAAAGGATAGCACTGGCACGTTTCGAATGTTGAGATGACATTCATCCCAGTCAAAGGTAAATTTTCAACGGATCAGCTGATGTATTGATTTCACTAAAAATAAAGAGGTTGCAATTGCAGCAGGGAAATAGACAGAGTAACTAACACGGCATCTATATACTTGACAGTTACTCTACTAAAAAAGCTCAATTAAACAATTGCTTGAAGTTCTCTGAGTGACAGGTGTTCTCCAAAATATCACCTTAATTGGTGATGATTCCGAAAAATTCCTGGAAAAGTTTATTCTATCTACTATCTGCACTATTTTTTTGAGCATAGAAAAAAAAGGAATTTATTTTCAGGGCTTAAATAGCAGATTTAGTGGTGCAATTTTACCTTGCCCATGTATGTATTTATGCCTGAAAAGCATTTATTTACTCTAGAGTATAAAAATGAAGCTCTGCACAAGAACGTTTGGCTTGCCCATGTTTTAACGTAATTTATGATTTGGAATGGTCAACATTTTGAAAAGTTAATGAATTTTTGGCCCACTGGAAAATTGAACTTTTGCGCAGGAAAAATTCGGTTTGCGAAACCTGCAGAAAAACCTTTCTAACTACGAATGAACTGTAAGGCCATCAAGGCTTTGTGAGAGGTACCTAGAAATCTTGAAGTAGCGATCCAGCGTCTGGAATTAGCTTGTATTTAAATGTGTCAGCTAATGTCGAAGATTGTCTCCAGCTCACTCTAAATCAGACCATCATGTGACACCTCAAATCCAAGTTCAGTGATAATCATATCGAGTACCTAAGACCATTATTGCCACATTATGACATGTTTCGGATACCTCCGAGGAAGTGACCAGTTTCTTACTTGAAACAACACTTATTATGCGACACCTCAAATTCCATGAAAATGCACAACCAAGTTCAATGTTAGCGATATTAAGTCCCAGGATCACATTGGTAACATCTGGACATGTTCCGGGTACCCCCGGGGAAGTAGCCAGTTTCTTACTTGGACCAATCCCCATTATGCGGCACCTCAAATCTCATGAAAACTCAAACCCAAGTTCAATATTGGTCATATCGAGTTCCCAGGACCACATTTGCCACATCCGGGCATGTTCCGGAAACTCCGGTAGAAGTGACCAGTTTCTGACATGGACAAAAATGTATCATACAACACCTCAAATCACATATGAATAAAAAATCTAGATCAATGGTAGCTATATTAAGTGCCCAAGACCACATCGGTCATATCTGGATATGCTCCAGGTACCCCCGAGAAAGTGATAGCTTCTGACATGATCCAAAACTCAATGCGATACATTAAATCACATGAGAATTCAAAACCAAGTTCAATGGTAGTTATATTAAGTTATATTAAGCCCCGTAACGTGGGTAGATCAACTTTTCGTGGTACGTTACGGGATGTAAGATCTACCACCGATTCCTAGTCCTGACTACTTCAAACTAGGGGAACAAGATTTTTCAGTAATCCAAGGAACACATCTTAGTCCTTGTTACTTTTTATGCCTTGTTGATAGTGACAAGACTCGGCTTTGTCTACCGAGGATGACCTTGAAACAAGGAAAAAATGAGTTAGTTGTGATTCCTAATCTTCTATTCGTTGTTCCCTAGTTTGAAGTGGTTAAGACTAGGGTTCTGATTCATGGTCATTATCGGTGTCATTCCTTAATTTTGTTGCAAAGGAATCCTATTTTGACTGACAAAGGGGCGTGCCTTTGGAGGGTGTTTCAACACTCCGAAGGGTATAAATTGCGGGACCTTTCAATTAGAGTCGGATCCTTGCGATAAATGCAAGAGTGGCAACTGTAAAAAAATCGAATACTTCATCATTTCTCAATTGTGATGGAGTAATACGACATGCACTAAACTAAGGACACGGGATATACTACAATAGATCAATTTACTAGTCGCAGTAGTGTAAGGTCCCGAACAGAGGAAAAAAAAGTGCCCAGGATCACATTGCCCAACCTGGATATGTTTCGAATCGTTTCCAGTTTATGGTTTGGGTTAATACCTTTCATACAACACATTGTAAATTTGACTGACGAGTAGCATTGGACGCTTTCTAGTTCCTCCTAAACTGTCGCATCCAAAGATTGTTTTTATCTTGATGCCATCGATGTTTATATAACAATGAAGTATACGACCTTTCCCACTAACCAAAGGAATGAGTACTTATTTCAATCAATCAAAACCCATCTGACAGGTAGCACATTTTGGTGTCACTACTAACATGCCGTAATAAAATATTCATTTTCAACGGACATTTTTACGAGCACGCACTTTCTTTCGGGGAGGTCATTCAAATGTGTTCGTCTTGCCATTATGCGCAAACCCCACAGACCATAAAATCGGTAACAGATTACCTTAGTCAATGTCACCAGCAAGCAAGTTGGAGTGCGATTTTTTACTCGAATTGCCACTGACTGCGAGAGTGTTAGAAATGAAATATGATCATCGTCATTCTGAAAGCCATCATTTTCAATGCCAGCCAAAAGGTTAGTCGAAGACATTTGCAGCATTCGAATGCTGTTACGTAAACGAGACTGTAAAATAGTCATCAAATCGTTAGCCCTTGTCTAGGAGATGATAGACTTAACGAGAGATTACACATTCGTCACAAGAACTCGGGTGCACACAATAGCGACTGAGTTTCGTTCTTAATTAAATGTCGATGTCTATCAGGACATAGACAGACCGCGGTGAATACATTTGCCATTTGTAACAGTTGTTTGATATTTTCCCGAAACACACGCAACACATTGTCGGAGTGACATGACGTTCTACTTTTCGCGTCGGATTCGCTAAGATTTCAATATATGTACCTACATAAAAAAGAAATAGTTTCGTCACACCAGCAAACCGGCAATCCTTGTCGACAAAAGGCAACAGCTGTGATTTTTCTTCATGTGTCATTTTGAAAAATGTGATTCTTTTTATGTGACGATAGGTTGCGGTAGTGTTGGCTCGTTTCAACCTTCAAGCTTCTACCCTTCCAGTCACGTGCGTTTGTTTGTGTGATGTTTTCCGACAATTCACCGAAGGATGACGCAGGTGCCATTGCGAATGAATTATGGGTGCACAACAGAAATGGAAGTAGCGGCGGCGTGGAAATTGTTCGATCACTGCAACCTCTGAACAGCCTGTGGTGGTGATGCGGATATTTCTATTAAACTAATATTTGCATTCGTGCGATTATTGGCAAGACAGTAAACCATATGCCTTAATTATCTACTTGCTGTTTCAGTAAAATTTACGGTAAGATTTTCGGGTCAATCAACATACTATAATAATAATCAATATAATAAAAAGGCACAGATCCACTCCACGTGCCTATCGAGTGACATGGCTACCATACTGGAAAGGGGGAATTCGATTTTCTGTAAAGTTTTGACTATCTTTTCTGTATTGTTCTAAAAGAATAAACTTCAATAAAGGAGCACCTCCCTTTAGATGGTTTTGTCGTATGCACCACACGACAAAACCAGCTAAACGGGCAGTCCTTCAATTAAGTGTCTAGATCTAGTGTCTCGGAATATTTTTTTTTTATCAATAATCGACTTTCTGGAGCTAAGATTTTGTTTTGTGCGTGGAATCAGGGAATAAATAAATAAATAAAATTAAATTTTAATTCATCACTAGAATTTTATACATAGTACTGCAACGGTGGCGTTTACTTAGTTTCCAGTAGGGTGGTCTTTTCAATAATAAAAAAAGAAAAACAAACAAAATTAAAGAAAAAATGTTAAGGGTTGTCCTACGATATCTATATATATCGTATATATGTGTGCAATGTTCCTTCTTCCTTAAGGAAACATTGCGGTGAACAACACTACGCACTCACTTTGGCGCGCTCATCACAACTTACTCGCACGTGCGCATGGAGACTCAGGCGGTTATCTTCAGTCGCGAGGACTTAGATTCGCCGTGGGAGGAGTTCTTCAGTTAGCGGTCTTTTACGACTGGTTACAGTCGAAAATCGCTTTGAGGAAAGCTGAGTCTCTGGGTTGAAAAAGACTGTTTTATTCTACAAATTTCATTGGCTTTTATAGCCTTCGGTTTACAACAATTTACATTGAATTTTCCTATCTTCTAATGGGTTAAAAAGAGAACGAAAGAGACGCCTGGGACATAATGCTGACAAATATTGATATTTGGGATTTTGCCCTTGCGCGCCCATCGATGCCTTTGTTTTGATTTATTTTGCTTATGCTGTTTATTGGGGCTGTGGTGCGAGACCATCCCGGTATGCAATTTTAGTCAGCAAAACATGTGTTGGGTTATTATATTGCTACGTTCATAACGCACATGCCTGGCTGTTCCTTAGTTGCGTGTTAAATAGTATGTTTCCGAAATTGCATCGATGGCTGTGCTGGCCATCTGACTGTGATTGAAATGGAAATGTTCTTGCTGGTACTGGATAATTAATTGCATGGGAAGATGCATAGCACATATGGCTTCAGTCCATTCATCACCTCCTTCATCATCAAATCCTGCGAAATTTTTCTTCGAGTTCTAGGCTTGCGTTAATAGAAGACGAAGAGATTCCATGTACTTTACAGTACTCTTCGAAATCTCGTCCTATAAACTGCTTCGCATTATCCAAGGTGATTGTTCTAGGATATCCAAGAACTGATGAATATCTTATTCAGCCTATCCACCGTTTCACGAGATGTTATACGCATCATGACGTCCACCTCATTGTACCTGCTGAAATAATCAATTACTACCAGCAAATGTTCTCCAGACGGAAGTGGACCCATAAAATCTATCGCGACATCGACCCACGGCTTTGATGGCAGTTCACGACGACTCATCGGAACCGGTTTACTGGGAAGTCCGACCAGCTGACATCCCTCGAATTTAATCACAAATTCCTTTGTTTCTCGATCCATAATGGGCCACCATGCGCGATCCCTCAACCGTTTCATGAGAGACTCACCCGAATGTCCTTCATGAGCCAGCTGTATCATCCTATGTCGTAGAGCCTTCGGAACCACTAGCTTATTAACTCTTACCATAGTTTCTCCTACAAATCCAAGCTCATTCCTAAATGGTTCAAAAGGTTTCACTATTGGGCTGTTCCAATTTCCAGACTTAAGACTTTCTTTTACAGCTAATATCTCTGGATCATCACGTGCAGCTTTTTCGATCTCTTCAACGTCTACAGCTACCGACTCTTGAATTGCCAACACAAGAACATAGTTATCTTGCTCGAATTCATCGCAATTTTCCGGAGGTATCAAACGTGATAGAGAGTCAGCTTTATATCTTGTACCTTTCCGGTATATCACCGTGAACTTGAAAGATTGCAGTCTTAAAACCCATCTTTCTATCTGAGCACAAGGAGTGGATGTCGGAGCAAAAATAATTTCTAGCGGCTTGTAGTCAGTTTCAAGCTCAGACTTTCTACCGATTAGATATACAACAAACTTCTCAACGGACCAAACTAATGCTAGCGCTTCCTTTTCAGTTTGGCAGTAGCGTTTTTCGGTGTTCGTTAGGCTTTTACTAGCATAACATATTATATAGTACTCATCATCATGTTCATTCAGAAATTGGACCAATACTGCTCCCAACGCAACCGGAGAAGCGTCGGCTATCACTCTGGTGCGCAACGAATTATCAAAAAATTAAAGAGTTTTCACATCCGATGCTTCAATTCTTCAAAACAACGTTGATGTTAATATTTCCATTCGAATTTACTGTCTTTACAGGTCAGTTGTCTTAGCGGAGCAGTCTTGGTAGAAAGATCGGGATAAAATCTACCGACATAAGTTACCAACCCCAAAAAACTTCTAACTTCCTCTGAAGTGCTTGATTCACGGAATTTTTTTAGTGAGTCAATTTTGTTCGTAGCTGGACGAATACCTTGATGTGACAGCAAGTGACCAAGGAATTCAATTTCCTTAACCTTTTATATGCATTTTTCATGATTCAACAAAATATCCCGGCTTTTCAAAACTACTCGTTTAAATTGTGTGCGGCCACTTAGGACACGATATAGGATCGTTTAAACGATGGGGAGCAACCATTTTAAATTTTGCATCAGTCTAGTGTGTATTTGTTTGTACGTGTTTTTTAATAATAAGGAGAGAAAATGCTTCAAAGGCCTGGCCCCATATTGTAGTGTTGATATTGTTGTTATTTTTTTCTTTATCAAGGAGACTTTCAGCCCAAGGCTGGTTCGTCTCCATAGTGTTGATTTGCAGTAAACCAGTTTATACCCGTACCCAGCACGGTTCGGTATTATTATTATTTATCTTTATTAGGGAGGCTTTCAGCCTGGGGCTGGTTCGCCTCCACGGCACGGTTCGGTACTCACTAGTCAGTCACCTTGTGCCTCCCCACTAAAAACAACTCCTGACTAATATCAGCGCTAGCTGACATTGCTAGCTCGGTGATCGTCTCTTCACTTACCTTGCAGCCAGGGTTACTTCCACTCACTTGCTATAAAAAATTGTTTTTCCGAATTATGAAAACATTAGATGTTATAGTGATAATTAGAACTTGTAAGTTACAAGAAGAGGTCGTGAAGTATGTGTTTAACTCATAAAACCTGTCAATTTCGCTTTCAGAGCGTCACAATCAGCGATCTTATGATTCGCGAGCGTTCACTCAGAGTGAGCGCTCACGAATCGTTCAATCTCTGATTGTGACGCACTGAAAGCAATATTGACAGGTTTTATGTATCAAACACATTCTTCACGACGCCTTCTTGTAGCTTACAAGTACTTATTATCACTATAACATCTAATATTTTCATAATTCGGACAAACATTTTTTTATAGCAAGTGAGTGGAAGTAACCCTGCTTGCAGCTTCGAATTTAAGTGACTACCTTGATGACGGCATTTCAGGTATCCTTCTCTCGACACATTTCATCGACGACATTTTCTGCATTAAGGGCCGGCATCTCCCTTAGCACTACTTTGAAATGAGAACTGTTGAAGACCACGTGCACAGGTGTTTCCTCTACATTTCCACATTCCTGACAGAGGGGTGACTTTGCGTGTCCGATGTAGATACTTTCTGAAGCAACCATGACCAGATAATAATTCCATAATAATTATTAAATAATTAATAAATAATAAAGTCAGGGGGAAGTTTACCTCTCCATATTTTCACCCAGGTCAAAATAATTGGTATAACCCATGAGTTCATCTGTCGTTCTCCTCCGAGTTTTATTCTCCGCCATCGACTCCACTCTAACCATTTTCCGTACTCCTTTGGTTTCTTTCCACATGTATCGGTCGCTGTCCTCCGCCAGGGTGATGCCGGTAGAGATCATTCTGACGGAAACTCATACTCCTTCCGACGAGATTATTCTGTACGCGCTCACGACTCGCATGGCCATGAGCCTGTAAGTAACTGTTCAGCTTCACTTGATTCCGCTTGGTATCCAGTGCTGCAACCTCGGCTGGACCTCCGTGCCTCAGTATCGACGACGATAGACCAGCCAGAAGACGCCTCTTGCTACTGTTTGGTCCAGAGTTGGTCGGCATGATTCTAACTACTCTTCTCGTGGTTATTGAAGCTTAGCCGGTCATTGATCATCACTCCCAGCATGCACTTCGAGGCTATGGTGTGCTCCCCGACAGTGATGTCTGCTCACTGCACCACTTTGCAGTTATTGAACAATAGCTCTTCAGTTTTGTGGTGGCCATTCTGCAGTATCAATCGCCTTGGTCGCTAAAATGTCCACCTCTTCCAGTGTCTCGCCTACTACCGTTGAGCAGTTCTACCTCAAATGATGAATCGGAAAACTCAATCTTTTCCGATTTGCATGAAACTTCGCATAATTGATTGTTATGCGCAATGATTCACATTTTTACAAATATTCGACCATTTTGGATCTTGTTAAATTTTCAATATGGCGTCTTGGAATTTTTTCAAAATATTGTAGCACGGAACGGCACTTTTGATCGAATCGAATGTTTTCCTGGGACAAATTTATATTTTTTGAAAATTACACAATATCCAAAATATATATAAGCAAAAATTTTGTTTTGCTATTTTACATTGAACTACTCCGTTAAGACGACGTCGTTTGCCAAGCCAACAATCTCGACTTCTTTGGGCAGTTTTAGCATCAGCGCCCTGTTGTACATTCCATTCCTGAGCGTAGGACCAAGGATGGAGCCTTGTGGAACTCCCGCCATGATCCTAATCAATCCTTGCCCCATGTCTGACGCGTAGACCAGAATCCGATTCTGGAAGTAACTTCCAGGACCCTTCACAGGTAGTCTTATGCAAGTTTTTTCATTTCAGAAAAGTTAGCATTGTTGGTAAGCTTTCAAATAAACATAAGTTTAAAAAACTTAAAAATGTTTATTGTTTTGATATTGATGTTTTTAACAGCTGCTTATTTTTTTATTGTGCATTTTTTATTGCAATTCCGGAGAACTTTGAGATTTGGGCATAATTGCTTTTGTAAACAAACACGTCAATCACCGATTTCTAGTGAATAAAAACTCAATCGAGCGCACAAACAATACAAAATGGTATAGGAATCATTCTGTTTTTAGTTTTTGAGATTGAACTTTTATCGCGAGAAATCGGCCATTGACGAAATTGTTTACAAAATGAATTACGCCCTAATCGCGAAGTTCTCAGGAATTGTGAATCTGTTTTTCTAAAAAGGCAATCAATCCTGTTTTCTACAACTTTGTCTCAGACGTCATTTCGATTAGATGAGCAGTTTTCGTGTTATGATTTATTGAAAAATGCCGAATGCGCCATTTTGAAAGATTAGGTGTGATTCAAAATGCCCCAATTCCTGCACAAAATTGGTTCATTATCCCTAGCGAACAAGTATGCGAAGTTTCATGGAATTCTGTGAGGTAAAATCAAAAATTTGATTTTTCGATTTTGGCGTGGAACTGCTCTATTGGAAAACTGCATGAGTGATTACAGTAGGTATATGTCCCTAGGGCAAAATAAAAATGATTCAGATAAATAATGCGCACTGACTGCATAAAACAAATCAATGCAATGGGGCAGCTTTGTTAATGCTTTGAATGTTTGGGGCACTTATCGTCGTATGCGTCAAAAACGTATTCATAGTTTACACAACATTTTTGCTAGCTTTTCCCATCTTTAGTGGTCACCAATTAATATACGAATGCCTATTGAAATTGAACACACAAGATACCCTGGAATTGTAAATTCAGATAGGAAAAAAAGAAATAAATATAATAACGGGTAACTATATTTTTTTTTCGATATTTAAACTTCATAAATTGTTTTCCGTGATCACATAAAACAATTATCACTTTTAAGCCTTCTTTTCCAGCAATTTTAATCTGGGTCGATTCAAATTCAAATAATTGGTTTACATATGGATCATCAATTACTTACTATCATCCAAAATATTTTTTTTTCTCCATTTCAACTAGTTTGCTTTAGTTCTATAAATAATTTCGAACGGAACAAACAAACAAACATGTTGTGTAGTTTTTTTTTTAATAAATTCAAACAATTGTACCTGGTTGAGTACAAGCATTTATATGGCACGCATATTACTGATACCCTCTACTAACCAACAATCATGAACAATTAGCTCAATGGTTTGGAAAATCAATCCCACATCAGAGCATCATTTCTTTTTTTAATACCAAACGAATTATTGTCAACAGCAGTCCCGCATGTGAATGACCGAACGATGAGTATTTATGTCTTTTGTGGTTATTATTTTTTCAATTAGTTCAAATAGTAAGCTCTAGTCATTCGAATAGAGATAAAAAAAAATCCACATCGTTTGTGGGCAATCAATTTTAAATTCAATCTATCCACAAAAATATGCAATAAAATCCTATTCTGGTGAAACTAGCATATTTGAATGAGCACAAACTGAACCGTGAACAAAATGTGCAAGTGTGCCACCGTTCAGGATCGTGTTTTGAGCAAGTTGATTAAAAGTAAATGTTTGTGCTATTTATCAAGCTGCTTTGGCAGGTAGCTAGCCAGATACA